ATTCTTATTAATTTACTTTAAAAAAAGAGATTTATTTTTTATTTATAATAATTACGGGCAAAATTAGAATATTGTTGTGCTTTTAATTAGATAATCAATTTTTATTAATTTGCGTGATTCGGTTAAAAATATCTTATGTATAGAGATGAAGGAAGTAAAATGTTATTGACTTTACTATTTTATAATTCCTAAGTTAATTTAATAATCTACATATTTTTTTAATTATCGTAGCTTTTTCCTTAAATATGTTGTTTTTTCTTATCCAGGTCAGCATTAATTCTTGCTTCCCACATTACTAATGTACATGATTGCCATTTCATTATTTCGTTAGCCATGTCACTATAATATAATTAGATAAGTATCTGAAACATTGTATAAGTATTAAAATGATAAAAAAAAATTAAAATTTAGGTATCAAAACAATAACTCATTCAAATATAAGGAACTAAAAGTTACATGCTTACATTATCCCATAATAATATGATAATCTTCACCAAAAACAAAAACAAAAAAACGACAGAGTGTGTGTGTGTGTGTGTGAGGTTAAAATCTAAATTATGGAGAAAAAGAAACTGGCTCGTGATAACACAAAAAGAAACTGGCTCGTGATAACACAAGTATTGTCACTAAAACTTTAATGTATTGAAAAGGAAGAAACATAGTCAAAGTTAAGGCCGACGTGGGGTTTTACTGTAAGGGGCTATGTTCAATTAATGAAGTATTGGTTTCAAAGAAAGGCTCCTTAATTCGTAGTCAAGGTAAAGAAAGGGAAGCTGATGAATGAATGGAAACGTTGGGTTTTTCTTTGTTTGGTAAGGCACACCAAGGAATGCTTTTTCCTCTCAAAATCTGCTTCCGGTTTTTCCAAAAGCAGCTTTGAAAGGCGACATTAAAGAGACCAAAAGCCAACGTGGAACGTCGCACGAAATTGAATTTCGCTCCCTCATTTGGATGGAAACCAGTTAAAACATAAAAGCAGTATGTACAAGGATTCTCATTTCCCGTGTGTACAAGTTTTTACTGCCTGTTCTCGTTTATTCTCTCTCATCTTGTCTTTTCCTTTTATCATTATGCTTTCCTTGTTTCCTAATCCTGCTTGTCGCCTTTTGAAAATGGTTGGACTCAAATATACAATTGCCTTTTCGTCCAAATACACACGCGCGCGCGCCTTTTCCACCACGATTTTACATCATCTTCTTGTGTTCTCCTTTCATCTATATATATCTACACATATACGGGATCATTACCAAATTAAATAATAATCAAATGAAAAGTGTGCCAAGTAATGTATATATGTGTAGTAAATATAAAACGCTTTAATTATCAAGAAACAACGTTGCTTTTTAGATTAGGTGGCGAAATATATATATACTTCCCTGGGGACTAATTACTGTGGGAATAATTTTAACTTTATAGGGAATTAATTAGTATCTATTACAAGCAGCAAAAACATCACATCACGTATGGTATTATAATCTATTACCCATTCGTTTGTCAAAATGATGACAACCAATACTTATTATTATTTGTTCATAGTCTATCGTAGGTCTGTTAAGTTGTATCTATCAGTGAGAGTGGTTATGAGTCCCTACCATTTATTAACTTGTTTGATTCTTTGATCAACACCTGGCTTTGTAAATATCGCGCAGAAAACCAACCACGTTATAGTCATAACTTCATTACAAATTAAGACGCCGAGCTATAAAGTTTCAAATTATAAGAAAACAAAAGGATATATGCGCGCGCGCGCGCATATATATCTACATATAGTTTAATTTCTGTGGCTTTTTTAATATTATACATATACTGATAAAAAAGGAGGAAGGCCTTGTGGTGAAAATTTGAAGATAACTGTGAAACTGAATCATTATGCTTATACATGTTGAAGTACTTTGCCGATAAAAGTTATATGCACAAAATATTGTGTCTTAGTTTTAGTTTTAATATTAGAAGTCATTGACAAACGAGGCTTGGTTTTAATATTGTGTGTGTCTGTCGATCAATATGCACAAAATAGAAAATGATAATAGCAAAGTATAGTCAGACATGGTGCCAACCATATACCAAGTGTAACCAAATTAGTATAATTTGCAAAATAATGTATATATAGTTGAAATGTCACTGTACATTGTTAAGTGACTTGCACATTAAAGAAATTAAGTGACATAAGTAACTTTAAGTTTTAATTATTGAAAAACTTGTTTTTATTCGGTTAAGTCACATGAAAGAAAGAAAAAAAAAAGACTCGTTTATAGCTCTGTGTAATGTGTGAAAACCTCAGCTTATATATATAGTTCAATTCATCGATGATTGCGGCAAGTTTTCTATATTTTTGGTGTGATTTTCATTGATCAAGTTCAAAACAATAAACAACGGGCTACCATATATTACTTGACAAATTAGCATGAATTAGCAAGCATCAGTGAAAGCGATGCGCGTGGATGAGAAGGTATCCACGGTCCACCTACGCCATCTAAAGCAATTTACGCACACACAGCAATAGAAAATTGTTTAATTTAATTTAGTAGAAATTACAATCAGATCTTAAATAAAAACTTAATTATTTTTCCAGTCTATTTACAAGTCAAATTTCAATATTTCTAAGTGGTAAAGACCTATAGATAATTAACTTTTTTTTTTGCCGGCAGATAATTAACTTTTTATATGGACTTATATGTATTTTTTTAATTTAATTTTTAATTTTTTACATTTATCATTTTATTAGAGACAATTTTGTTCTTAAGCATCTTCTAGCAAAAATTTAAATTTTTATTTATCTCATTGTGAGTGATTAGTTTTATATTTAACTTTTGTTAGTTCTCTTTGATTTAATTTAAAAGTCTTCAAATAAGATTAATCTTCTTTGATATGAAAATTAACTGGAAAATAGCGTAATCATATTAACGGAAATATAAATATTAACTTATAACTCATTGTGAGTGATATAATTAAACAAAATAAAAGAGTGTGATGTGAATAATTAAAATAGAAGGAAAAAAAGAATAGAAAATAGGAAAGGAAGGAAAGGAGAAGAAGGGGTGGGACCCAGGAGTAAAGAGTCAACAAGGTTCCCGGGGAAGCAGATCCGAGGGCGGGCGGGCCCACCGACACCCCACCTTTGCTGGGCAACCCGCTCTTTCCTCGCCTGCTTTCCTCTCTGAGTCTTTTACCTTTTTTTTTTCTTTTGAAAAAATCATAATACAATTATTTTAAATTATATAAATAATAATTTAATTTTTAAAATAGTGTAATATTAATAAAATTTTTAAAATTTTTTTATTATTAAAAAATTAATATAAATAATTAAATTATTCTTAATTTAAATATTAATTATCATTATAAGTTTTGTTTTAAAATGTATAATTTTTTTTTAAAATCACAAAAATTTAATAAAAATTTATAAATTTATATTTAAAATTTTAATTTTTTTTAAATGTTGTAAATATTAATTATTATTTAAAATTTTATTATAAAATTTATAAATTTTTTTTAAAGTCATAAAAATATAATATCAATTCATACGTTTACATTTAAAATTCTAACTAATATAATTAAATTATTTATATTAATTTTTTAATAATAAAAAAATATTTAAAGATTTATTAGTATTATAATATTTTAAAAGATTAAATTATTATTTACATACTTTAAAGAGATTTTATTATTATTTTTTTAATTTCTTTGATTTATGTATAAAATAACATCACTGTACTCATGTATGCCTTTCACGTATTCCTACATTTAATTTGAATACATTGTTTCTTTTCTTTTTTTATAGCTCTGATGTGTGAGGTGAATTTTCCCCCAAAATACACGAAACAAAATTCAGGTCAAATTTGACCCCGCTAGTTAATTTATTAGAAAAAATAATAATAAAATTTTTTTAAAATATATAAATAATAATTTAATCTTTTAAAATGTTATAATTTTTTTAAAATTTTTAAAAATTTTCTATCATTAATAAATTTATATAAATTATTAAATTAATTTTATTAAAAAATAAAAATTTATAAATTTTACTTAAATATTTATAACTTTTTTATATTCGCGCAAATTCAAATATTTCATAGGAATGACAAACTGTGTTTATGTTATTAGTTGACCATGATACAAGGTGCGGGGGATCTTTTTAATTGACAGATGCTCAGCTAGTAAGTTTGGATAGATATATGCAACTCTTAACAGCACCGGCAGTTGATTGTTTGCCAGGGTTGGATTGTTTTTTTTTTTTTTCTCTACTGACGAATATTTCTTAGGAATGACAAACTATGTTGTATTTTATAGGGGATATTTCAGGAAAAGAATGGGAAGAAATATAATTTTAAGTCTTTACAATTTATTTAAATTTTACTATAAGTCTTTATATTTTTTTTAATATTTTAGATCCTTATACTTTTATTTTTTTAATGTTCTATATCTTTCATAAAACACTGAAAAATTAAAAATGTTAGAACTTGTAACATCAAAAATAAAATATAATAATTTATAATAAAATTTAAGTAAAGTGTAAGAATTTAAAATTATAATTTTTTAAAGAATGATGGTACAATTTATTCACAATATTAAACTTTAGTGACACACATGTTTTTTTGGGGTGCTATTTTAAATTTTTGAGGTGCTGCATAATTTAAAAATATATACGAATATGCAATTCCGAAAATGGGAAAAAAGTGACGGGAAGACAAGAAAGGTAAAATTGTGGACGAGAAGTGGGAAAATGGAAAAGGAGGGGCGAGGGCGGGAAGCGTCCAAGTTTGTCCAGCGAGGGGGTGGTCAAAGTAGTTGACTTGGATTCATTTTGGTCACGTGGAAGGCGCCGCACTATTCGGGGCGGTGCCATTCTTGATTTGATTTGCTTTGCTTTGCTTTCCATGAAGCAGTCAATCTCTTTTCCTCACGAAACCTCCTTCCTCCCTCTTTTCAACCCCTGACGCACCCTCTGACGTCGCCACGCGTCCTCCCCCGGCTTTTTTATAGCCTCCCCTCTTTCTCTTCTTGAAGACTTCTCACTTCATTCATCTGTCTCTCTCCTTCTTCTCCTTCCTCTCTCATGGACCAAGGATGGGGTCTTGCTCTTGATTCTGCTCCAGCCGCCGCCATGCTTCCCTCCTTCGGCTTCCCCGTCAATCTCACCCGCCCTTCCGCCTCCGACTCCGATCACCCCAACCGCCTCCCCCCGCGCGGAGAGCTTGACTTCTTTCCGATCGCAGCAACCCTCCCCCTTCCGATTACCCCCCTCGCCCTCTTAAACCCGTCAAAAAGGAGAATCCTCCCCCCGAATCTCCCCGCTTGAATGTCAATGTAACCACCCTCCTCCTTTTCTTAATTCTGCTGTGTTTATATTTACATATGGTTACAGATGCTTATTTTCTTCTTTCTTCTTTCTCTGTAGACTGGCTTGCAACTCCTCACTGCTCATACTGGGAGCGATCAGTCTACGGTTGACGACGGAGTCTCGTCCGATGCTGAAATTAAGCGAGCCAAGAGTTCAACTGAGGTACACGCATGAAATCTTCATTAAGTGCTACTGTTTATGATATTTTCCTTGTTGATTCTACATATGTGATGCTGTTAAATTATTTCTGCTTCTCGCTCCAGAAATTAGCTTAATTTCCTAGAAATTTTTTATTATCGACTGCCTTAAACTGAGAATTATGGATGTGTGTTTCAGTTGGCACAACTTCAAGAGGAGCTTCATCGTATGAACGCGGAGAACCTGAAGCTGAAGGACATGTTGAGCCACGTGAGCAGTAATTACGCGGCCCTGCAAATGCATCTCGTCGCATTAACGCAGCAGCAGCAGATTCAACGCACCCAGAGCACAGGACATGAGGTAATTAATTACTATATTCAATACAAACACAAGATCTGGCCAATTTTTTATACATAAATCTTTCGAATCGTTGTGCAATGAATGCTTACTTGATTTGGTTTGATCTAGGTTGTTCAGTCCAAAGCCGATGACCAGCGAGAAGTTGTACCGATGCCGCTTCTGGATTTGGGAACTAGTGGAACAGCTGAAGTAGAAAACGAGTTATCCAATTCCACTTCTGATGAAAGAACACGATCCAGCACTCCTCTTAACAACAATGGTAAAAACGAAAGGGAAGAGAGTCCGGATTCAGACGTTCAACCCCAAGGTTGGGGTAGTGGTCCAAATAACAAGCTTCAGAAGTTGAACCCCTCCCCACACTCCACCGATCCATCTACCAGTACCACCGCAGAAGCCACCATGAGAAAAGCTCGCGTCTCAGTTCGTGCCAGATCAGAAGCACCCATGGTGTGTATTAATCATGAACTCCATCGCCTGTTTTTGATTTGCTACAAGACTCAGAATTTCATAGCAATAACTGAGATTGATCTCTTTTGATTTTGACTCCGACAGATCAGTGACGGGTGTCAATGGCGAAAATACGGACAGAAAATGGCAAAGGGGAACCCTTGTCCTCGTGCTTACTATAGATGCACCATGGCGGTTGGTTGCCCAGTTCGCAAACAAGTAAGTTCTTTCATCTTCTTCTATCTTACTATATAACTAACAATATCAATATCAGCAGTGGAAGGCTAACGAGGTTATGCGCTTTCTTGGATTTGTTAAGGTACAACGTTGCGCGGAGGACAGGACGATTTTGATTACTACCTACGAAGGAAGCCATAACCATCCGCTGCCACCGGCGGCGATGGCAATGGCTTCGACGACGACGGCAGCTGCTAGCATGTTGTTGTCGGGTTCGACGTCGAGTGCCGACGGAATAATGAACCCGAATTTGCTGTCCAGAGCTATACTTCCTTGTTCGTCTACCATGGCCACGCTTTCGGCCTCAGCACCGTTTCCCACTATTACGTTGGACCTCACTCACAATTCAAACACTAACATTAACGACCCTATGCATTTCCAGAGACCTCCGTTTCAGGTACCCAATTTCCACGGGCAGCCTCAAGTTCAACCAACCCCATCGGGTCAGCATCACTTGGCTCAGGCTTTTTCCCAAACACTTTACAACCAATCCAAGTTCTCTGGCCTTCACTTGTCTCAGGATATGGGATCGTCGTCTTCTTCCTCTACCCAATTAGCCCGCCAACCTCCCAGGCCGGCGCAGCCGGGCCAACCACCGCAGCCGTCGTTGGCAGACACTGTCAGCGCCGCCACCGCGGCCATCACTGCCGACCCGAATTTCACTGCTGTGCTCGCGGCCGCCATCTCCTCCATCATTAATGGCGGCGGTGTTCCCTCTAGCAATGACAATAATAGGAGCGGCAATCCCAACATCACTAACGGTACCACAATCAGCAGTTTCTCGGGGAATCAATAAAGCTTAGGTTTTTTGTTCTTCGTAAATTTGTTTCTTCTTTCATACTTTTGGGGAGAGGGCGAACGAGATGTGAAATGTTCATACTTTTTTCTTCAATTGTTTTGCGTGTCCAGTATGGGAGGAAAGTTTAGAACAGGGAAGTTTAATTCTTTTTTTTTTTTTGTTATTTCATCTTTGAATAACTTGGTATCGTAATTCTATGAGTAAATAGACAGGAAGAAAAGAACATACATAGCATCCGTGTATCTTTGCATCTTCTACTTCTACCTTGAATTTTACAATTTTTTAATATCAACACCGTCCATGACACTCTTCTTGTATTTGATGTTTATTAACGTAATAGACTTAGAACTCTAATTCTCAAATCGCCGTTTGAGAAATGACAAGGAAACTACTATATCTCTTTAGTCGTCGATCATGTACCCAAGATTGTTCATGGACAGTTTCACTGTCTGGGCAACTCGATGGCAACGTAGAGGACCCAGTTGTCCAAGAAAGACAAAAGAACAGTCAAGAAAGAGGCAAGGAACAGGACTTGTGGATGGAGAATTTTGGGAATTTAGGGATTGGTCAAGAAATACGGCGATGGAAAATACGTAATTCAAGATGACAGGTAAGAGAGAGGAGAAAAAGAAAGGCAAGTTCGCGGCAAGTACGTGTGCACTTGGTTTGCGTGGGAGCAATAAAGAAAGAGAAAAAAGAGTACTGATAGGGTCAACGAAGAAGAAACAAGTGGGGGTGTGATTGATTGGAGCAAGCTGGATAGGATTTTTGACTTAGTTTTACTTTTCCATGAGGTTCACGTTAAGGGCTATCCCTTAGTGGCATTGGACCAATCATGTGAGAGACCGATTATAATTGTGAATTATTATTAATTATATTTAAAGAAGAGGGATGCTTCTGTATATGTTTGTGGTGGTCGCACCGTACCTTATCCACCGTACAACTCGGTCTTCTTCTTCTTCTTCTTCCTTGTCTTCCACCTTTGACTTGTTCTTTCTCTCTCCCAATCCCCCCAAAGAAAACAGGCTGACACTTTTTAAAATATGTTAAATCAGTTATTAATATTAATATAATAATAATATCAAATTTCATAAAAGTTAGTATATGAAAAGTTTTTATACATCCGGCATATGTGGCCCGACTCAATAATTCAGTAGACATAAAGTGATAAACTGATGAAGGCAGATCGATGAATAGTAGAGACGGTACATAGACATGCGTCGTGCGGATAAATTTTGGTACATATCCGGAGATAATGAGAGTCTACACTTACGGGAACCACCTCATTACACTCTTCTCATTTATTCGATTTCCAAGTTTTGATCATCACCATGTGTTATTTTCGGTGCTTGCTTCAAAAGTTAACTTTGTATTCATGTTTCTACTTTCTACATATATATAATTTACTCTTCTGAAATTTTTTTGGTCAAACATCAATATGAATGTGAGCGAAAGGAAAAAAAAAAACCCGTAAATGAACGTAATGCAGATGATATATTTGATTTTTTTTCAATTAATAATTAATAAATATATATAGTCTGTGTACTTTCACGGATAAACTATAGGTGAGAAGTCAGATCTCTTTGGAGGAAGAAAGATAAAAAGCATTTTTTTGTGCATAGGTTCATGTGATTGCATGTGAAGGTGGAAGACTCATCCAAATTGAATTTATTCATGACAATCTTTGAAAATTAGCCCAATAACATTTATTGATATTGATTGTGATATTGACGTTTTTTATTTAAAATATATTTTATGCTATGTAGATCCATATAATCAGCTCTTTTTATTTTTATTTATAAAAAAATCATATCACATAATTTAAAAAATTAATTAATTATATTAATTGTATTTAAAAATAAAAAAAATTATATTATAATACTTTTTATTAATTATTTTAATTAAGCCTTCATTAATTTTTTTATAACTATAATGATAAAATAATAAGGGATAATATAAAAAGTTTGCAATAAATGTATATTGAAAAATGTGATTTTGTTCATATAAAAAAACAAACTAAAGTAATGATTTCTCTTATAAATGAAAATGGAAGGAGTAATATATAACTTAAGGGTGATTTTTATCTTTTAATTGTATGTGAAAAATCATTAGGGATGTGAGATCTCAACTTAAAGTAATTTTTACCCCTCAACTTAAAATATTTCCTCTCCTAGCACTGTGGTGTTAATTCACCCAATGTTCATCCATGTCTACTTTTTGAATTTTTAATTATAAAATATTATTTATAGGCTTATATTACATTTTTATATTTTCTTCCTCTCTATTTTCTCCCTCTCTCATCTCCCTCCCCTTGCAGCTTGGATTTATCTTCAGTGATGAGCACCATTAGGGTGATACAATCTAGAGCATTGAGGTTTTTAATTTGAATGATCCAGATTTAAATAATTAATTTAATATGTTTAAAATGAAAAATTATAAAAAAGTTTTAATACATAAAAATTTAATAACCGATTTAAAGTTCTATTTATAAAAAAATTTAATATTAAATCTAGATCGCACAAAGTACATATGAATGGTTAATATATAAAAATTTTAAATTAATTTAAACTGTCCATATTGAATATGCACTGTCATAATTGATGATAAACTATTTATTAAAAAGTTAATAAATTTTTATTTTAATAAATATAAAATATAATTATAATTATAATTATAAATTAAAAGATATTAAATCTAGACTGTTTAGATTTCAAATCTCATCATGGTGATGAGCTCTTAAGACGGACGCTTGCAACTCCCGACTCCTCTTCTTCATCATCTTGTTCTTGTCTCTCTCCCCCCTCTTTCCTTTTCCACCAACGTCTTCGACTCCTATCACTGACTTCCCTACCTCCCTTATTTTCAACAACTACACTATCACCTCAGTTTGAGTTATGGTGCACGCACAAGGGCTCAGTTCTCCTCTCCCTCCCTCATCTTAGACTCATGTTAAGTTCAAATGTTTTAAAGTTGATGGTTTGATTTTATTACCAGCCTAGGATTTTATATATATATATATATATATTTGAGAATTATATTGAAATCTCACAAAAAAAATTATAAAATTTATTGATAACTGAACCAAAAGCATTAATAATACAATGGATAACTAAACTAAGGCCATTTTATTCCTTTTCTATCGTGATAGATTTCTGTTTATTGGATATTTTTAGCTTTTTCAGTAAGCTTATGGCAAGGAGAGAAAAGCAAGAGAGATAGAAAAGCGAGGGAGAATTTCCCTTTGCTTAGCTATATTCTGAGAAAAGTAGAGGGAAGGGAAAAATGAGAGGAAAATAACATATAAGATTCACATGTTTTTATTTTCAATTTTTTTCTTCAAATATGAAGAGATCTTAAAAATAAAATTTTATTTTTAAATTTACCCACAAATATTTAAATTTGATATTTGTAGTGTAGTTACATTTTAATCATGAATTTTTGTTAAACAAACAATATATTTAATTTTTAGATTAATTAGATAAATACTAATTCTAAATTTTCAATTAAGTTCCTCATATTTAGTTGTAGTTTTAAAATTTTAAGATTATCATATATTTAATAATTTAATAAATAAAATTATCAATTGGATAAAATAATTTGTAATTATGTTTATATTCAATCAATACTATATGATAGAAGTTATTATATATATATAATATGTTAAAATTTAATTTTTATTATATATAAATAGTTTTACAAATAATATAATTATTATTTTTCATATAAAATTAACAACTTTTTTTTCTCCTTATTTTCTTTTGCTCAGCCAAGCATAATTCAAGAAAATTGCTTTCCTTTCACTTTTCTTGTCTTTTCATTTTCTCTCTTTTTTGTTTTCTCTTACGAGCCAAACACAACATAAAAGTTAGGTATCATATAAGGCACATTATAAAAAAGAAATGGAGGAGAGTAATTAGTTTAGAACGTGCGTGCTACGTTTATTTTTCTTGTACCATACAAGGTGCTGGTCCATAATGTTGGTTCTGGTTATTGGACGACTTGAGAATGAAAGCGGTGGCATTCAATTAATCTTAAGTTTCAGCTGTTTATTTTTTATATTAAAAAAACTGTTTATTTTGTTGACTAATATACATATACATATCATTACTACGTGCCTGCTTCTTAATGTATTTCCCTGAAAATTTGTTACGCGCACAGCATAAGTTTCTCATGAGTGATCACAGTCAATATTAGTATAACTATCGTTTCTTTTCGCTTCTTATTCCAATAATTTCTGTGATTACTTTCTCATGATCTTCAATGTTAGGTAAGCATGAGGCATAGCAAACATCAATGAAATTCTAGAAAAATGAAGTTAGAAGTCCAAAAGAATAAAGGAATGCAAAAAGGGAAGAACAAGTTCAGGAAAAGAAGAGCCATGGGTTAAATGGTTTATTATGCACGCATGTGAGCAAATATCCAATCACCTTCGTCTCGTGAAGCTCTTGAATCTCCCCTTTTTATTTTGTTCAACATTCAATGAACCATCCCTGCTTCCAAACATACATCGCCTCTTCATCACACAATTATTTGTATATTTGCCGCTAAAAAAATAAAATTGTACTAAAAAAAAAAAGACTAATTAACCGGCACAAACCCGTGCTATTTTTATCAGCTTGAGGCTTTGAGCTTTTTTTTGGGCCAAGAGGCTCAGATTTAAGTCCAATTAAAAGTAAACGACATCAATAATAAAAAGGCCCAGTCCATGTGGGTTAAATCAGGCTAGCAGGCTCTCTACTTAAACGAGAGAAAATTTTTTGGGGGGGGGGGGAGGGAGGTTTGGCAGATTAATGGGCCCTTTCGGCTCGTATAAAATTAATATTTTTTCAAAAGGAAACTGGCCCCAAGTTTCTTAATTGGATCTTTCTGCGTTAAAAATGATAATATAAATTTTCACAATAGTGTAAACATATAAATAACTAAATTATTGCCAGAAAATATCAAAATATGAGGCAGTCCATTATTTATTTGAAACCAAACAAAACAAAACAATAGCAGTATAGCACGCATGATTACAATACTTTCAACAGTCGTGTGCATAATAGAGACACAGAAAAATAGAAAAGACAGGCAATATTGTGAATCCCATGGTGGATCAATAGTAATATAAAACTATACCAATATATAATGAGGTTAGAGAAGAAGAAGAAGAAAAGAAACAAGGGAATTAACAGTGACAGTAAGTAAGAATAAGTGAAGTAGAAATGTGAAAGAATTGGTTTGATGATTGAAACGGGGAAACGTGTACATGGTTCCAAGTAGGTAAGGGAAAAATGGAACACTGTAAACAAAGCATCGATGGATAGAGCGTGAGAGCGGGGACAAGACAACGGAGCAGAATAGAAAGATTAAGTGAAGGAGTGGTTGTTGGGATTTATATGAAGTGTGATATGGAATTGGGATTACCTACGCGAAATGTAGACAAGGGTTTGCTTGCAGCCATGGAAAGAGTATTCCCTCCCAGTTGGACTACGCTTTGCCTTGCACTCTTTGCTTTCCCTCCTCTTACGCTACCTTGTATTATTAATTATATCTACGCTCTTTAGACTAAAAAATATTCATTCAATGTCACTGAGGAATCACTGTTGTGTTGGGACGTTTGCTTTCTAATTCTAGGTAAAATGCTCCTCACGTGTAACTGTACACGATGCATGGTACCATGGGGGCGTGAACTTACGTACCCAACGAACTAATCAGCATCGCTAGCATTATCGTCTCTAAATTTAATCCATTCTCGTAGGTAATCTAACAATGGCCCATAAGGAAACTTTTGATGATGGTGTCCTTAATTAGTGGCCTTTCATTAGACGGCAACACGTTTTGTTTTGTAGCCTTTCATTCCTTTGGATCATCGTTTCCATATAGTTCCGCCTCGATCCACAAACGAAATACTAGTTGACATTGTATTTTAGTTTCTTTTTAAAAAAAACTTTAGAGAATCCTACGCATCTCAGTCTATCAGTTAAATTAAAGTTCCATTCTTCAGTACTAAGTTTCCTTGTTCGCCTAAAAATGTGTTAATTTTCTCCTGATGTCATCAATATCACGCATTATAATATCTTATACGCCGTCATCCTCACGTTAATTCTGATTGGTATGGCCATAATTTTAGGATGGCACATGAAATGCGCCTACTATTTCTTTATGATCTCATACTGATACCTATAGCATGAAAAAACATTAAAATGAATTAATATATAATTTTGACAGTGAAATAATTCTATTAAATTTTTATAAAATTTATCACTCACAGTATTTTTTTTTATTAAAAGTAATTCTGTTTTGCAAGGTCAAACATTGAATATAGGAAACTCTCTTAGCAAAGGATTTAAATCTCATCCTTTCTGATGTTATTTATAAGTTACTTTTAACATATTTCATCATAACTATACAAATTTTAAATTTTATTAATTTTATTTTAAAATTTAATAAGTTTTTACCTTTATCTCTAAAAAAAATATAAAAAATTATTTATAATAATTTTTCTAATATGGATAAAAATATAAAAATAAACATAAAAAATAATAAAATATCATATAAATAATACGTCGTCAAGCTGTGTGGGGACTACTCCCTCTTAGTAAACCCAACTCTATTGGTTTAATTATTTGTTTTTCCCCCCAAACCGTTTTAATGTTTTCTGTTTTATTAATAACAAACTCGCTAAACGACAGAATAAGGGCAGTGGGGGGTTAGGCGCGAGAAGGGAGGAGGTAGAGGTGTCGCATTCTCAGGAAGCCAAAGCACACGCCCCCACATTTCTGTTATCAATATTCAATATTTTTTAGCAAGGTGTGGTCATCCTTTTTCGACGGCTCCAGATCGCCTCCTACTTCATCGGACGGTTTCCATTCATGATTCCACCGCCTCGCTTTCCTTGTCGCCGCCCGAATCACGTCATTTTTAGCCCCCCTCTCATTCCTTAACCCTTGCCTGTTCTATTGAAGTCTCTTGCGCTTTTCTCCTCTCCTACTCCTAACTCCCTCCAATCTCTCTTCTTTATCCTGGTCAGAATTCCATTCCTGCTTGTATGATCATGCAATTTTTGTTCTACATTGCATTTTCCTTTTTTTTTTATTTTTTATGTTTACCATCCTGATTTGAAGTGGGTTTTACTTCTGACTTGTTGGGATGATCATTTATCATATGCTGGTCTGAATATAGGATCCGTTTGATTATGGTGTTCTTTTCTCCTCGATTCCTACTCTCTGTTGTTGTTTACCATTATTATGCCTTCTGGTGTTTTATTTTTCGATTCCTTTGTTGAGAAGGTGAAAAAGGATTTTTTTTTTTGGTTGGTTGTTGTTGTTTTGGTTCTATCAATTCATTTTCTCACTATTGGAATATCTTTCGTTATAATGACTCATTAATTTCTGAATGCATGCAATAATTATATGATATTTGTTGTTAGCTTTGTGTTTGTCCTGTGTTTGAAATTCTCCATTTGGGTGACCAGTTCGGCATGGGAAACAAGATGAATGCGGTTGTGTTGTGTTTCTTTTTGTCAAGCTTGTTGCTTTCGCTGGTTTCCTGCGAGCCTAGTGATGGGCTGCGTAGGTTTGGACTGAAGAAAGTAAAGTTGGACCCGAACAACCGGCTTGCTGCTCTGCTTGGGTCCAAGGAGGGAGAGCCGTTCCGATCCTCCGTTAGAAAGTATCATCTCCCAAGTAATCTTGGAGATGCTGCTGCGGGCTCGGATATTGTTGCGTTAAAGAATTACTTGGATGCTCAGTACTTTGGTGAAATAGCCATTGGTACTCCTCCTCAGAAATTCACTGTTATTTTTGATACGGGGAGCTCTAATTTGTGGGTGCCATCAGCCAAATGTCATTTCTCGGTCAGCCTTTATAGACTTATATTGCCTTCATAATATATATGTTCGATTTACTTCCTCATTTTGCTAACTTATTCATGCATTTGAGGTGCAGATTTCATGCTTCTTCCATGCCAGGTACAAGTCTAGCCAATCCAGTACCTATAGGAAAAATGGTATGTCTTCCTCTACCTTTTGAAAAAGACTAAAATTTTTCAGTCTTTTGTAATTTTTCTTTTGTTTTATTAATCTTGCCGTCTTTCTCCATGAATGAAGTATTTATGGTCTGATCTGAATCTTCAATTTGACTGAAATATGGAGTTTCTGTAGGACAAAGTTTGTCTTGTCACAAAACGTCAACCGTCTTTGTTTAACACTCAAATTTGTCCTGCTGTTGTTGTAGGCACTTCCGCTGCGATCCAGTATGGCACTGGATCAATTTCTGGTTTCTTTAGCTATGACAATGTCAGAGTTGGTGACATGGTTGTTAAGAACCAGGTAATGCCGATTGGCAAACCCTTCTACATCCTTTTTTATCTTTTTCTTTACTTCGAGTGGTAGCTTTTGTTTTTTTCTGTGGGTGGGGAATGGGGGGAAAAGAGCTGAATTCTTTTATCATATAATGTGATTAATATATTGATATAGAGCATCTTACTCTCCCATCAGGAATTTATTGAAGCAACAAAAGAGCCTGGTGTTACGTTTTTGATGGGCAAATTCGATGGTATATTAGGACTTGGATTTCAAGAGATCTCAGTTGGAAAAGCCGTTCCAGTGTGGTAACGGCACATTTAAATTTTGTTCCCGCATTTTGCATGGATTTTATTAAACCTCTGTGATTATGAGTCATACACTTGTCCCAGGTACAATATGGTTAAACAAGGTCTTATTAAGGAACCAGCCTTCTCATTTTGGTTGAATCGCAATCCAAAGGAGGAGGAAGGGGGTGAGATTGTCTTTGGTGGTGTTGATCCTGCTCACTACAAGGGCAAGCACACTTACGTACCTGTAACACAAAAAGGCTATTGGCAGGTGATTTTTCAAATTATTTGCTTATCATTCTACTTTTTCTGCATTTGTTTTTGCTTCCTCTTTTTTCCCCACTTGATTTTTATTCATTGTTAATTATGTTTTGGTATTTGATAGTTTGACATGGGAGATGTCCTCATCGCTGGCGAACCCACTGGTAAGTTCAAGAAATTTATAAGAGAGGATGATATATTTTCTTTGACATGATTGCTTGCTTTGCGGTTCTATTTGTTGGTACTGAACTCAGCATATTCTCGCTCAGGATATTGTGCTGATGGCTGTTCAGCTATAGCAGATTCAGGAACTTCTTTGTTAGCTGGCCCAACGGTATGAACTAATGCATTTAGGCTTGTTATGCTATTTGCTATGAAAGTCCTCATTTCTGTCATCAGAATTTGATAGACCTACAAGTTCTGCACTGACTTGTTTGGCTAAACAGTGAAAAAAGAAAAAGGAAATGATATGACTGAAACTCTAATTAAAGTAAGAAACAACTTAGTCGATTGTAGTTAATCTGAAAGTTTGATTGTTGACTGCATAGCAAACTTATGGTAGGCATCACTTTTTTGGATTTGCTCCCTTTCATTTGATATGTTGTTAATTTCTTCAGTAATGTAATGGTTTTCATTTTTCAATGAGATGAGACCAAACCTGAACACAAATTGATTTATCCATTTTAGTTGTTATCTTGTATATGAAAGTGGAAGCAAATTCCTCAATATTTTTTTAGGCCTCTGTAGTTTGATATTTAGGTTCCCCATCATATTATTATTAAATGAAAGAGGCTCTCTTCAATGCTTGTTACTAGCTTGTTTTGCTGATCAAATATGTGGTTATGTTCTTTTAGACCGTAATTACCATGATAAATCATGCTATTGGAGCTGCTGGAGTCGTTAGCCAAGAATGCAAGGCAGTTGTTGCACAGTACGGACAAACAATCATTGACTTGCTTTTATCTGAAGTAAGGACCTTTTCTAACTCATTCTTAGCATTATTACCAAATTTGGTCTTGTTTGATGGTGAGTTTTGTTGTGGCCCTCTGACTTCTTTAGACTGAACCAAAAAGATCTGCTCCCAAATAGGATTGTGTGCCTTTGACGGTACTCACGGCATTAGGTAAGGCCAAAAGATGAATTGCCGCCTGGGTTTTCAATTATTTTATCTTGATATGTTTAGTGCTTTGTGATTATAATCAAGAGGCTCTCTATTTCCTTTGCAGCATGGGCATTGAGAGTGTGGTGGACAAGAATGATGGAAAAACATCTGGTCTTGCGCAAGATGCTACTTGTCGAGCATGTGAGATGGCTGTCGTCTGGATGCAAAATCAGCTGAAGCAGAATCAGACACTGGATAGAATACTAAATTACATCAACGAGGTGAGTTTTCACTTGTGCCATTTAAGTGTATCCGTGATCTGATGTTCCTCTTGACTCTAGCCTCATGATGGTACTTGAACAGCTCTGTGATAAAATGCCTAGTCCAATGGGACAATCAGCCGTTGAATGTGGAAAAATCTCATCAATGCCTACTGTTTCCTTCACTATTGGTGATAGAACCTTTGAGCTTGCGCCACAGGAGGTACAGTGTTCTTACCTGATTGCTTCCCTTTGTGAGGGCTGATCATGAGCACCATATCAGCTTCTCCGTGATAATCTAATGCGCTTCGACAGTAGCACAAGTTCTGCGAGAACCTCTCTTTTAACTCGTCAAATTTGCGTTTTGTGGTTTCTTCAGTACATACTCAAGGTGGGCGAAGGCCCTGCAGCTCAATGCATTAGTGGCTTTAGTGCTCTGGATATCCCCCCGCCGCGTGGCCCTCTCTGGTACATTAACCTTTTACTTGCATAGTGGCATACAGATTTTCCTGCGTTTGATCATAGATCCTCACTCATTTGGCATTCACACACAATAATGCAGGATCCTTGGGGATGTGTTCATGGGCCGATATCACACCGTGTTTGATTTTGGAAAGCTGAGAGTGGGGTTTGCTGAAGCAGCATAAAGAAAGTTGGTTGTCCCTCAAAAAACCATATGGCTATTTGCTTGTGGTTTTTGGACCCTTCCAATCCTGACAGAACTTAAATGTTATGGCTTTGTATATATAGTCGATTTCCTTGTAAAATTCGCTTCACAAAGGCGTGTGGGTCTGCGGCCAAAATGTGTGACTAATCTGCGGATAAAATGCTAAGCTAAAAGGGTTGCAGATGTGGCTCTCGGGATTTCTTATTTACTTGCCGACTTTTTTGTCAAGTTACTTTCGCAATGTCATTTATTATCAGGATATCGATGTTAAAAAAAAAAAAAAAGAACGTAGTTGGCTGTTTGATCAGCTAGTTAAACGTGTCTAGTTGGATGCTAATTAATATTTAATATTAGGGGTAGAGAAGAATAAAAAGAAGGAAAAATGGATAAGCCAGTTTAATGTTATTTAGTTAATAAACTAATTTATATAGAGTTATAATTAACTAATTTATAGTTAAAAAAATAATTTTTGTTGAATTTTAAATAAAAAAAATGTTCACATATTTTATTTATATTTTATTAAATATTTTATGTAAAGGTTTTGATAATAATAATTAAAATTTTAGTATGTGATTTTTTAAAAAATAATAAATGAAATAAGTGTATAGTTAAAATAATAAATATAAAAGTTGTTTAATATTTTATATTTTGAATTAAGGTTTTAAAAAATATTATATATTATGATTTGGAGAGAGTATGTATTAAAAAAGTTAGATAAATAAATGGGTAATGATTTTTTTAAAGTATTTTACATATACTTCTTTCTTCTTTATATATAAAATTTTTTTTAATTAAATTTTGCATATCAATAAATATTTGTTATTTAGTTGAAATCTTATAACAATACAATAATTTTTTAATTTTATATTTAATAATATATAATTATCATGATGGTGGTAGAAAAAATATATAATTAATAATTTATTTTATTTTTTAAAATAAAAATAAAATTATTTAATTATTTAAAAATATTATTATTATTTTTTATATTTAAAAATAAAATAAATTTTTAAAAAATATTTGAAAGACGAGAACGACTTTTTTTTTGGGGGGGGGGGGGCAGTGAAGACAAGATATGACTGCTCCCTCCATCGCAAGTACACGTAAGGTTTACTTTTACTTGAATATGATATTAAAAATTTATTATTTAATTGAAAGTATATAAAATTACAATAATAATTTTTTAATTTTATTTTTAATAATGTCACAATATAATAAAGCATAACAATTAATATTTTCTTGCTTTTTAAAGGATAAAATTGTTTAATTATTTAAAAATATCATGTCACTTTTTATATTTAGGAAAAAAAATTATAAAAAATTTAAAAAGATTCTAGAAAGCAAGGAATGGAAGGAGTATTATGTTTATAAAAAAAATATTATAACACGTGTAAGAAATAAAAGAGATTGGGGTTTTATATTTAAACTTAATATAAACTTTCAGGGAGTATACTTAAATATGCTTGAATATGCCCTTTTTATCAACAGAGAAAGATGATTTTTATGTTAAATTAATTTATATCATACTTGTTAATTTTTAATATATGTTGATAACCTTCTATCATTTAAATTTTAATTAGGAATATTTTCTGGATAAACTATCCTCTACCGATATCTGATTTACTTAAAGTTTGTTTGCATCAACATCAATATTAAAAGAGAAATTGTATATGATTTGAAATCTGGTCTATTGGATGTTTCATACAAATCGCTAGACTGCAATAATTTTTATCTGATTAGTGAATATGCTAGATTTAAGATAATTATATAAATATAATAATGAACATATATATATATATATATATATATTTATATAATTGATATGTATATAGCATGTTTTATCTGAAAAGTAATTTGAATATTGAGCAACGATAAATAAGTATCAGATTCCTTATTTACGAGTATGAGATTCGCTAATACATAATTAATAGCATTTAACAAACCTAAAAAATAAGTTGATCATATTGAAATTTAATTATATAATTTTACAAGCTTAAAAATAAATTGACTATACTAAAATTGAACGTCCAAATCTAATAAATATTATTTTGTCAGAAAATAACAGGAAATATTAAAAAAGTAAGCGAGCTAAAAAAGAATATCTGATTCATTAATAATTTAATTTACTTACTCTCTCTTTAATATAAATAGTATTTTACTAGCTTAAGAATAAGATGATTGTATCAAATTTAGACATCCAAATTTAATTAATATTACCTTGTCAATTAATTTTTCCTCCAAAAGAGATTTTAATCTAGATACTAGAGCTGAAAAGCACAAAATTTAGATCAACACCTAAGAAAATATCACAGGAGGTTTGTAATTTAAAATTTTTAATGAAAATAAAATCTTTTAAAGATATTTGGGAATATTTTGAGTTTAAAAAGGAAAAAAAAAAAGCAAATTAAATTAAGTACACACACACACAGAGACTTGTGAGGATATTTGCTATGCATCTGATATTGAGTATAAAGACGGAAGAAAGAACGAGAGGGCAAAAGCGCTGCGCAAAGAAGACACAATGAAAGGAGACGAAGGTAGCAAAGAAACATAAGATGATAGAATGATAGTTGAGGATAAAGATGGCAATCTCAATATTACTGAGATTCCAGAGAAGGCAGAAGCATGTTGCAGCCATTAAGAAACGTTTTGAAGTGACCATCTTGAGAGCTAAATTAAAGCAGCTTGAATGTGCAGAGATGAAAACAAAGCTCGATCCCATTCTTTTACTTGTACCCCTAATCTCAACAACCCTCTCTCATATCCTTGAAAGCAAAGCAAACTTTAAATAGATGCAAAATTTCATCTAATATGACGTTACAATATTTTATTTATTTGTAATATATTTTTAGTATTTTTATGTGTGCTAGATATTCTTTGTATTTGGCTAAAAAAAATAGATATTCTTTTTTACATTTTTTTTAAATTTATGAGCATTTTCATTTATATAATATTTGTGTACTTTAATTTAATTATATCCTGCATGAAATTCTCTTTCACTCTTGACTCTTAACACACATATAACTCTACTATTTATAAGATAACTTTATAACTAAACCGATGCATTGTTTTGATTATTTTAAGTTTTATCTAATTTTTTTTCACTATGTAGTTATGGAAATTATCTAATTTATTCACTTTGGATTTTTCACACAAGTAAAAAATATATAATTTTATGGGTCTTAATTATCATCAAAAACTACCAAATGTTAAGTGCAATTAATGAAATTATTCGATCGTGCCCTCATTAATTGGAATATCTTTTAAAAATAATCAGAGTCAAATGTTTCAAAAATATGGAAATACATGAAAATATTATAAAATTTTAAAATAATTAAATAATACATTATTTTTCTAAATTAGATATCCATGAAACCATAAAATTTTAAAATAACTGATAATTACTTTTTTTATTATTATGACCAAATATAAAATTATATCTTCTTTCTATAAAATCTTTATAAAATAAATATTTTTTATAAAATCTCTAAACTATATAAAAGTAACTTATTTTTTAATCTTAAAATATACTGTTTTACTTTGTAATATGAACAAGGTAACAGATTTCAAAATAGAATAAATTATTATGCACGTTTTAATTTTCATAGGATGAAACATTCTCAGACAAAGTATATATGTGAATACAACATATCTTGAAATACTAAAATATTCTCTATATTTTTAAAGAAAAATTTATATACTTAGTTTTAGATACTTAATATACTTATATCTAATGAAATCAAGGTATATATATTTTTTATAGATTATTTATCCTATAATAAATTTTTATTATTAATTTTATTAACATATTAAGATCATATTCACTTTTAGATATAAGTATATTAAAAATATAAGGTTAAGTACATAAATCTTGTTCTATTTTTAAAATGAATGGGGATAAATTCTTATATGGACCCAGTATATCACATTATTCATGCTCCATCCAATACAAACATAACATTCAAATAGATGTAAATATAAATTGATCTTATTATTAATAATAGTAAAAAGAAAAAAGATAAGAAATTAAATAGGTACTATATTTTAAAGATAAAGTCATTAAAAATAATGATACATAAAATTTTATTTGATTGAATTGATGTGATTTTTTTGGATAGACTATGAATGATATGAATCACCGGATTTATGTGAGAATTTTTCTGAGTGCTTAACGGCTAAAAAATCATCAATATATATATATATATATATACATGCGCGCATGTGTGTGTTAAATTTTTTTTGGATGGGTGGTATGGCGAGTTAGTTTTTCAAAAATTTTATATAATAAAGGAAAATAAACAAAAAAAGAATGTAAGATCCACAGTAAAAAATGAGAGTGAAAGTTTAAGGGAGAATAACAAGTCTGGATTTGTACGATAACAAGTTTGACAGCGAGATCCCAAAATCATTTAGCAAGTTGAAGTCTCTCAGAGTCTTGTGAGTGTATTGCCCATAAACATTTGAACATTATAAAGTTCCTAAACAGAATGATACATAATCGCCTTTTGTTTTAATTGGTTTCTTTGTATCCAAAATTCAGCCGCCTAAACAACAAGCTTTTAGGGCAAACCCCAAGACAATTCACTCATCTCACTGATCTCAAAATCCTGTAGGCTTCTCTTTCTTCCACTTCATTATTGTGACTTTGTGATTCCCATGCTGTTGCTTTTATGATCCAACACGGAAATATGGTGATGAATTCATTTTCTAATAACAACCTCTATGGAATAATACCATTAGATGGCCTTTTTGCATCTTTTCATCCAGAAGGTAAGTTTTTTCACCAATTAATCCTGCTCATGACGAACTTAAAATAAACAAGGAAATTCCAAAATCTGCAAAGATAGATGAGACCTACTCTAATATCACCAACCTAATAGCTTAGTTTATGGAAAAAAAAATCACCATAATCTCTGATATGGGCTTGCTTACTCTTGCAGCTTCTCAAACAACAACAAACTCGAGGGTCCAGAGCTTAAAGGATTTGTTTCTTACAATTTTGGATGCTGAAGAAAGCCACTATTTGGTGATCCTAACTATATAATGGCCATACAATGAGAAGCATCATAACAATATATATTGCCAACCGACTATATGCAATGCACCACACATAATAAATACATATTAAATTCACACAAGTAATAGTTTCAAACAAAAGTTTAAATAAGTAATCACTAAAATAGAGGCTCAAAACATGATGCTCTGATG